GGCTCACATTGTAATGATTCCGGTTTTAAAAAAAAACTTGAATCTCGTCTTATTCACAATAATCGTGTTTTATATATAAAATAAGCAATAAATTTCATTTTCTTTTAATTATCATCATCATCACAGGTTAAATTATAATTCTTACGAAGGATTGGAGAGAGGAAGAGAGGGTAGGGAAGGGGGATCTTTTTTTTTTTTTTTAATTTTAAAATTAATAAATTTTTAACCATCGTTACATACAAACTTTTTCAAACTTTTTGTTTATTTTTGTAAACGATTATCGATTAATTATTACAAATCGATTTTTTTAAAAATTATTATTATTAATATTAAGGACGATAAAGAAATAATAAGAAAAGACTACTAAATAAATTATTTAACAAATAAATAAATAATTTTTTTTTTTTTTTATAATAAATAAAATTGCGGTCGATTGATTTTTGAACCGATTTTTTTTTTTTATTTATGACTTAAAAAAAAAACCACAATGATAAATAATTGAGGTAACTAAGGTCAAGAATTCAACGATGCAACATAACAAAATAAAAAATAAAAAATTCTTTTGTTGGTATTCCTGACATTTACAAAAAAAAAAAAAAATTTATTTTCACATCGTATATATATTGACATAATTCATTTGTTATTTAAATTTTTTTTTTCTTTAAGTATTAATTATACTTTTTATGCGTTTCCCCCTTCTCTTCCCTTTCCCCCCTTCCCTCCCCCTCATCGAACATAAATAATGTTCCCATCCTCGTCTTCTGCTCCTTATTTATCATTCGTTAATAATAATAATTTAAAATTTTTTTTACGGTTTTTTTTTTGGGCGAGAATAAAACGACTTTTGTGAAAAAAAGTTTTGTAAAATGGCAACTTCCGGTATTTATTTTCTTTCCCATACGTTTCATTGTTAACTTGAGTACTATTATTATTATTATTATTATTATTATTATTATTATTATTATTATTATTATTATTATTATCATTATTAGACATAAATAAATAAAATAAAATGCGTGGAATTATTCGGATACGATTTTTTTTTTTTTTTCGCATTCGAGTCGTAGTTTTTTTTTTTTTTTT